GTGTGTGTGTGTGTGTGTGTGTGTGTGTGTGTGTGTGTGTGTGTGTGCCTGTGTACAAAGAAAAATATGTACTTTTCTCAAAGCTGGACTTTCTCCAGAGGATGAAGTAGTTCTAACTAGAGAGAACACATGAAAGAGGTCTTTGAGTTTCACATCTATTTTTTAAATGTGATTTTGTCTGCGGTGTTTGTCGAACTGAATGCATAATGTGACCTTCCTGTATTTGCATCTTGCACTGGCTTCTCAGTTTGTTTTTAACCAGAAGTTCTACTGACCTTGAGGCGCCAGAAGCATTGTTCTCACATGGGTGAGTGATCTGGGTGTATTTCTCCCAGGGATTAGGCAAGCATGAGTTTGTCTTCTCACCAGCACAGTGCCATTCCTCTGTACACTCTTGTGGATTTGTGTCAACAAAATTAATTATGAACATTATGGGGAAAAGCAAAGCCCAAAGCAGCTTGTATCCATGCTGAAGTTCCTGGGTGTTTTTCCATACAGAAGAATGCACGGTGGAGAAAGGTGCCTTTTGATTATTTCCACAATATTTCCCTCACTCAGTCATTTTTTTTAATTAAACTTGTAGGACTTCTACTTTCTTCTTTCTATCCTTTGTTTTGAGATCTCAGGTTTGCCTCGAACTCACTTTGTAGCAGAGGATGGCCTGGGGCTTCTAATCCTTCTGCTCTCACCTCTGAGTGTTACAATGGCAGTGTGGACCTTAACCCCTGGTTTAGACCGGGCTGAGGGTTGAACTCAGGGCTTAATGAGTACTGGACAAGAGTTCTACCAACTGAGCTACATCCCCAGTCATGTGACATGCTGGTGTCTACTCAGTCATTGTTGATCCATGTGATTTAGGTTGTTTTTTACAGTAGGAACGTAGTGGGATTTGTACCTGAACTTGTAAAGCTTGTTTGGGTAGACTTACTTTAACTTTTGAGAAGTAAACCAATAAAGATGGAAAATCGGTTGAGTAGGGTATCATTCCTTATATTGACCACTATAGCTCCATAATCGTATCCGCCTGCTGGAATTTGCCATTTGGTAGCACATATGCTCTGTGACTGCAGTGTGTTTTAGGACAACCAGGGAAATGGTGCTGGGAGGAGCGTGTCTCTCCATTCTCCACTCTAGTGCCTCCGTTTGTGCTGCCCTCTTCTTCATTCACTGACCTTCCTAACAGCCTACTGCCTCCCCATCTTCGTCCCTAACACCCTCAGAATACCTGGTGCTTTTCTTTCTTCCTCTCCGTATGAAGTTGTTTTTATTCTTCAAGGGTTGCTTCAGGGTCCCAGCATTTATCTATCCTCTGGTAGTATTCATGGAAAACCACATATTCTCCGCTCAGGAGGTCAGTATCATCCCTGAGTAACAACAACAAAAGGTTTGAGGCAAGGCATAGTCTTTTTGTGTACACACACACACACGCACACACACACAGACACGAGAGAGAGAGAGAGAGAGAGAGAGAGAGAGAGAGAGAGAGAGAGAG